GTTCCTTATAACATTCTTTACATTCATCTAACTCATATATTTCTGGTATTCTTTTCTTTAGTATCTCAAAAACTGGTAAACTATTGCTTATACACTTGATTCTAAATACTATCTTCTTACTTGCCTTTAGTAATTTACATTTGACTTCTGTTAAACTTCTGTTTTTTTTTCACAATGCTTTTTAATCTCTTTAAACTTCAGCATTTGGTTCAAGTTCTCTAACTGCCTTTAAGCAATATCATTTAGCACTATTCATTATGTTCGTTAATGTCTTCACAAACTTTCTGATAGGTATTTCTACTACTGAATCTTTCCAATACAGTATACATGGAAATTAGCAGTTTCTTTCAAGTTTCAGGTCTGAGCATTTACCTAACTATATGCCTTCTTTCACAAGTTTGTTAGCTCTTTTATTCTATACTACTCCACTATATGCTTTAACCTTGACTAGCACTAATTCGATATTTTTTGATCTGCATATATCTTTGATCTTTATTACTAATCTGAAGTTTTTGGTTTTGCTTCATGCTCTAATATTAAACATAGGCTTCTCTCTTTTCAGGCTTGCAATTGCCACTGAACTATCTAATTTAATTACTACTCTACTGTTATTAGCTATAACTAAAACTATTATCAATACTGCTGCTAACTCTGTCTTTGTTGATGATGTCTATTTCTCTAATCTAATTTTATCTTTCATTATAACTTCTTTTTCATCTTCACTAACTTGCATCCAACTTATCCTCATTTTACATTTCTTTTCTTTTTTTACTAATGACACATTTGTATAAAACTTGTATTCTATATGCTCATCTATAATGTTCTTTTCTAACTGCTTTAGTAGTATACTCTCTAAACTGCTATTTAGGCTTTACATTTTCAATAAACTAATTTCATAACTATATATCATTATTTCTCTACTTATGGCTTTTTCATTACTTATATTATTTTTTTCTATCTGACACTTATTGTACCCTTTTAGTTCTTCAAGCAAGACTGGTACCTTTTGCTTATACCTTTGTCTTACTTCTAGTAATACTTCTACTATTGCACTCTTCTTAACCCAACATTGACACCTACTTGTACTTCTACTGTTACTAAAATTACATTTATTATATTTTACAAGTACTGAGTAACTTTCTCCTTCAACTTGTGATATGCTCCAATGATTTATCAGTATATTTTTCTTTTTCTTTTTGACTACTTTGCCTACTATTAGTTTAGTATTCTTTTTGTTTACTAACACCTATTCTCATTTTTTTTTGTTTTGTAATAACTTCTTGACCTCAATTTTCATTGCTATGATGTTCGTTTCTTGCGTTTAGAACTTAGAACAGACCATTCTATTTACTTAGTTTTTTACTATCTTTTGTTCAATTTAGGCAAACCATTTTGCTTTTTGTTTTTTTTGTATATTTGTATGTAATGCTCTAAATTTCTTCTATGTGATCATTCTTTTACCTTTTTGATCTATTAACTGCTACACAAAAAACAATCTACTCTGCATTAGCTTTTTACAAGTCATTTTAAATATCTTGTTCTTTAATAAGCTTTGTACAATTTTATCTGTACCAAAAACTTGCCAAAAGACTCCTTTTGCCTTTATCTTTAAATCTATTTTACTTGTTCATAGCAATATCAAGCATGCAAGATTTCTTTTTTATATCTTTTTTAGATTATTTGTATATGTTGTATTTATCTTTTTTAATATCAGTTCTGCTAGAGCATAACCTTGTTTTACATGTATTCTTGTTATCTTACTAACTTGATCTGGCTCATTTAGTCTTCTTTGTAAAGAAATCTGCTAACTATTAAATACTTTCTAACTCAGTACTCTACATCTTCCTAAACCTTAATGTGCAATTATGTTATTTCTTACAGTTGCTGGCAGACCTAGTTTGTTTTTAATTAATCTAATTACTAACTGATATAAGTGATTTATGCACTCTTTGGACACTTTTGTTGTTTGCAGTATGTACACCAATTTTGGTATTATGTATATATTGTTAATATATATTAGCTGACTAATAGTTAATTTCTTTGACTATAAGCTTCTCATAAATTGCTGCATAATATTTTTCACCTTTTTTTTAACTAATCTTTCATTCATTTCTATACTCAACCATACTCCTAACATTCTTGTTATTATATGCTTTCCTTTAGCCTGTACTTGATCTAAACCTATTACTACTCATCTTTTTTTACTTCTTATACTTGGATTAATTGCCAACAACTTTAACTTAGCACTATTGATCTAGATATCATTGAACTTGAAAAATCTTTGTGAAATTTGCACAATTGCTTGTATCTTCTCTTTGCTTTTTGCTATTCAGGTTGTGTTATCAGCATAGGCTATTGTTGCTTGCTTTGTTCTTCTTTCTTTGACTTTATTCATTTATAGATCTAGTACTTCATATGCTTCAATTTCATATCCTACACTTATTTTATTTTGAACTCTTCTTAAAAGTGGATCATAAAATATTTACCAAACCAATAAAGAAATTGTTTCTCCTTGCTCAATTTCATCACCTGCAACAAATGCTACTATAGTTCTAAATTCTGTTATAATACTAACTTCCTTTTTATTATACAGCTCTATTATGAATTTCACTATTTCTTCTGACAGCTTAATTCTTTGTAATGCCAAACAAAGTGACCTTATTGACACTGAATCAAATGTCTTCTTCATGTCTTGCATTAACAACTATAGCTCTTTACCACTTTCTTTAGCATTTTTTTTTAACATTTCCACTATATGGATTGCTTCTTCTGTTGAGTTTCCTGGTAAGTCTACATAATTTGAACCTCTAAGAATTTCTTTCTTTACTATTATTCTAGGCATTCTTTTTACTAACACTTTTGTTAAGCACTTCCTAAATGTCTCTAGAAGTGCAATTGGCCTAACATTACAGAGATTATAGTTTTAGTTCTCACCTTTTGGTATTGAATATACTTGTACCAACTTCTACTTATATGGTATCTTTCAAAGCTTAAAACACATATCTGCAAATTCTCTAAAAATTTCTTGTGTTGTTCTATTTGCACCTTTAATCAACCTATATTCAATATTTGAAAGACCAGAGGCAGTTTTATTCTTTGTTTCTCCAATCACCTCTAGTTATTTATTAATTGATATTTCTGCCCTTAAGCTTTCATACTACTCTTCTTTAACTTCTATAAGTAGTTCATAAAACTCTTCTATTACTTTTCTATCATCCACTACATTTCTTTGTTTAAATTATAAACTAAAATGTTCTTTTGTTTGCTCTAATACTGTACTTGGTTCATTATATAGGATGTGCTTTCCTTCTTTATATTCCGACACCAAGTCAATTCTGATTTTGTTATCCCTTAGATTGTAACACAGGCAAATTTGCCTGCATTAATTTTTTAAAATTAATTTTTATAATAAAATTTTAACAACTAGATAACAGTCTTATAAGACTGTTATCCAGTTGCATTATAATGTTATCTAGTTAGGACAATATAGTCTAGAATTTTATATTGTTATCTAGTTAGGATGATATAGTCTAGAATTTTATAAAAGATTATGTTCTTCCCAACTAGATTATTATCTGTGAAACCATTTTTAGGTATGTGGCCGGTTATATAGTTTCTCTTTTCCAAGTTGCCTGACTAATTAGAAAAGAAGATGCATGATTCTATCTTTCTTGGTCTGTTTGGAGACAATCTTAGATGCCGTCTTGGCCAGATTCTATATTGAGATGCTTATCTTTTTGCGCCTATTCGGTTGTCTGTCAAAATATTAAAATGTGGTAAAAAAATATTGTGTCAGGTAGTGCAGTAAATCTGTGTTTAAATTTGCCTGGCACTATAGCATAATTCTGGCTGATCTTTAGAACATGTATTTTGAGGATCCAATTCGGCACTATAGTAGTGACCTGATAGTGTCTAGAACTATCATGATACTAGTGGCAGACTAGTAGAGAACCAGAAAGGCTCTATTAGTTCGCCAGTTTTAGATCACTTCTTGGTTGCCAAGTTATTGTACCCAAAGATCAGGCTGAAATTATGGGCCAAATTATTGTTAATTTACTGCACCTTCAGTTCCTGGCACCTTTTTTTGGTTAGTCAATTAGAGGTATAATGCAACAATACTAGCTGTTCCTATGTGTTCCTATAAGAAAAAATTTATAAGGATGTCTTTAGGGACAACCTCAATATTGATTTTGAGATTCCTAATTTGATTTAATCTATTCTTTATTACTTGTCCCTATGTCTCTATGAGTCCCTATTAAATATAAAAGTTCTAGAAAAAAAATTTGATTTTTATGGTATGTTACCTTTGATAACTGTATATGCTTATAAATATGTTTGATATATAGTTAATGTATGCTATAAAAAAAAAAAAAAGTAAAGAAGTTCGAATTTTCACAGGGACTTATAGGGTCATAGGGACAGTAATAAAGATGGCTTTTCAGAGTTTTAAAAATATCAGTTTGTTAAGTTTTTTTGCTGTCCCTATAAATTTTTTATGAGATATGGAAAATAGTTTTTATAGAGACAAATTTTTTTAATGAGTTGGTGCACTTACTTTAGCTAAAGCATGAACTCTCCAGTTTCTAGGGCCAATTTCCCACATCAGGTATTTTTATTTTATCAAGAGCCTGCTTCATTGCCTCTGGAGTCTGCTAGGTCTGAAACATCTTATCTAATTTCTTCTAGTGATAATATGTATTCGAATAGCACTTATTTACATGCATATTACATAATCTATATATAGAAGCCATTGGCCTCTCACATTGTTTGCAAGGAATTTGCTGACGTCTTTTTCAGTGAATTTTGCACCTCTCTTGTCATTTATATACCTGCCCACAAACCTTTTCTTCATTAGAACAATACTGGCAAATGTATTTACCAACTATTGAATATTATCTCTGATTAATTTTTGGTGTTTATAATAATTATTTTTTATTTTAAACTTTTTTGTTAGGGTATATATACTGTTTCAGTATATATATAGTTATTATATCTAAAAAATGACTCAATCTGAGCTTTTAGAGAATTTGGATAGCCCTGTTCCATACTATTGTGGGTTAAAAGCTTCTGATATAGGTGCATGCTTATATAAAATTTGTGATGATAGTGTTAGACCAAGGCATTTTCTAGGCGCAGACAATGTGAATGAAATAGAAGCCATACTCTCAGATTGTGAAAGCCATTCCTTACATGAATTCATTGATAGGGATGAGCCACTTCATCCTATTATCGATTTTGATTTGCTCCAAGAGATATATGATACCATTGAACCTAAACTTACAAGAAAAGAGATATAAAATTTACTTATCCATACTTTTGCAAAAGTGTATAAAGATATTTCCTCTAACTGGGATCATAAAACTATAATCATTGCCAGTAGTAGTAATGCAAAAAAAATGTCGTACCATATCTCAACTTTTGGTATGAAACTTAAAAATATTGCTCAAGTTGCAGTATTCACTGAACTTATTTATAAAAAACTCCTAGCAAGTTTACAGAAGAAAAGTATTATTGACAATATTGCAAATAAAAGTTCCTTTTCCTTGCAAATGCTTGAATCACCCAAATATAATGAAAAAACAAAGGAACATGTTCGTGAAAAAAAAGCAATAAATCCCAAAAATAGAACTGTCTTTGATTTCATGATTTGTCCTCCTAATGATGAATCAGAAGTCATAAAAAGCTCTTTATTAGACATTGCAGAGCCAGAAGTCAAAAGGAGTAATGGTACAAATAGCAAAACTACTTAGGAAGAATTCGATTTTGTGGAATCATTACTCAAAGAAAATTGTATCAAAGGGTATACTCTTTCATTCTCTTCAGATAACATTCCAGACTTGTTCTTATTAACTCACAACTCTCTATCACACTGTCCATTTTGTGATTGGAAGCATACAAATGAAAATGCATATATCATATGAAATAAAAAATCATATAGATTTTATTGTCATTGTGCTAATCAGGATCAGAAACCTGGAGCGAGAAATCCCTCATTAAAGCTTATTATTAGCGAAACTGCCTTGGACCAAAAACATAAGCTTCCAAGTTCTACAAAACTAGACCGATCCAGAATTTCAGATCCTAACGATCACTTCATATGGAGGGATCTAATTGATATATGTGTATCTGGACAGAAATTTTCTCGCAATGAAATTTATAATGCAATTCAGGCAACAATTGCTTGTATTCAAACAACATCAAGGTTATGAGTGCTTAAAACAGAAGATACAAATAGTGGACTATATTTTGATATGGTGCCAAAACTAGATCTTGCCAAATATGAAGTTAACTTAGTTGAGCTAGGTAAGGAGGCGGTGAAGTTAATTAATTTAATAGATCAGGTGGTTACTAAAAGTCTAATCCTTTACTGCAATATTAATTTTCTACCATATTCACTAAATACTCCAGCTCTTAATACGAAGTTCTTTAACCTTTTCCTAGGATTTTTGGCTAAGCCAGTAATGGGAATTAACAAAGAAATTATTGATCTAATTTTTTGGCACGTATTGAATATAATTTGTAATAAAAATGAAGAGCTTAATGAGTATATCTGGAACTAATGGACATATTTGGTGCAAAGGCCTGAAAATAAGCCCCGAACAATCTTAGTACTAAAATCTACATTGCAACAATGTGGAAAAAATATTATTACTGACTTTATTGATGATAAAGTCTTGGGATCACACCTCTATTTCACAATGTCAGATTTAGAAAAAATTCTTGGGTGTTTTAATAATGCTATTCAAGCTTGAAAGCTTATTGTTATGAATGAAACTAGGATGTCTAGTGGGAAATAGCATAGATTTAATAAACATCTCAAATCACTTATAACAGAACGAATGGTAGCTATAGAGTGCAAAGGTCTTGAAACTATACGAATAAATGATTATGCTGGGTATATGATTACAAGTAATTAGGATGCTTCACTTAAAATAGATATAGGTGATTGTCATATAGTCTGTTTTGATGTTTCTGCATGCTGTAAAGGTAATATATCATATTTTGACTGGCTAGGGGAAATTCTAGACCATCCTAATGCATCAGGAGTAGTCATATCATACCTTCTTAGCTGTGATTTATCAAATTGGAGTCTGGGAAAAATTCCTACAACTAAAATGAAGATAGAAACAATGTGAGAGCAACTTCCTAATCTCATTTGATTTATAATTGATTATATTGCATCTTGGCCTGAAAATCATATTAGCAGGTTTAGTTATGAAAAAGTATATCAGGATTATCTTAAATGGTGCAGTTGTAATGAAGAAAAGCTATTAACTAGTAAGGTTGCTGGAAAGAAGTTTTCACAAATTGGCATTGATCGGGCATGTTTACAAGATAATAGAGTAAGAGTATATCAGTATATTCTTGACCACCCCAAAATCGTAACTAAGTTTCGTGAATCTAGCCTAAACGATATCGAAGAATTTTCTAATACACCTCAATCTGACTTATCTAAAAATAAGACTACAAACATGCTTATATTTAATGTGCCAGAATTTATTCCTTCAAAAATAATCACATCTCAGGCAGAAAAGAATCTCTCTCCTAGTGATAAGAAAGAAGATAAACAGAAAAATCTAACCCAAGCTCTATTCGACTATATGAAAGAAGAAGCCGAAGCACCAGTTGCTTCAACATCTGGGACTTCCAAAACTTCTAAGATGTCTAACCTACCTGAGCCAAAAATTATTGAGCAGTCTCAAAAGGACCAGACTAGCAAGCTTCCCGAATCTATTAAGCTTATAAGTGGAGTAGCGCCCCTGATATGCCTTCTAAAGAAACTGATTCTTCTAAGCCTATTAATGAAATACCATCTACCATACTTATGAGCAGGGCTCAGCATGAAGAGCACCTTAGAAAAAGGGCAATCGAACTTGGTGAAGATCCTGATATATTTATAACTATTACAGAAAAGAACAGGCTCGATTCTACTGCATTTCATTATAAAATGAAAATGAATGCATGAATGTGTGATTATGCAAAAGAGGCGGAAGAAGACCCTAAAGAATATATGAACATGTCAGTGCAAGAGAGATTAATAGAAGAAGAAATAATTCATCGTGATCTTGAGAATAAAGAAATCACATCCTCATGGCTCAATACTGATGAAGAATAGAAAAAAACAATAAGCATACTTCAAGAAAATGATATGCTTTAATAAAGAGCAAATATGAAGCTGGTTTATAAGTGAGGTGTTTGAATCCCAAACTATTAATTATTTTTTTCAAATTTAACAATAACTAGTTTAATATAACTAAATAATACTTACTACTAACATGGCTACTAAAACAGCTTCCCCAAAGACCCAAAAACCTAAAGTTAATAACTTTGTATTGGTCTTAGAGCAGTTTCTAGAAAAGCATAATCTGACGGCTGACTCTATCTCAGAACAATTAAACAAACATGCTCCCAAACTCGATGTATTACTTCCTGATTGAATGTCTCACAGGTGTGTTAAAGTCACTCTTGCCAGAGGTACTAATAACAGATGCTCATTTAGTGAAGAGCAGATAGAGGCTCTCTTACCAGATAAGAGAAAAGGAAAACTTACCATAGAGGAAAGGGCAAAATATTGTGCTAAAATCAGTGATGCTATGGACATTTTCACCTATCATTTAGATTTAGACCCAAAAAATGATTATGAAAATAAAATAGTCGCTAGTAGTTCATGCTAGTCGCAATTTCATATGAAATTAGCAGAAGGCGAGATAAGTCCTGAAATTATTAATACCTATGCCAAAGATCTAAAACTTATTCAAGAATCTAATAAAATTCAGAAAAAACAAACTAAAAAATGAATAGCTAATCCAGATAGAATTCCAATATACTTCTCATTAGCAAGAGTGCTTAAAAGGATTTAGAATATAGATGTTTCTAAAATTCCATCTAAAGAAGATCTTGCGGATGTAATTGTGATGTTGAGTATGAGACCTGCAAAAGTAAGATCTCCTCAAATTTTTCACTATGAATCAGATCCTTTGAATGCTCCAGTATGGTATAAAGAAGGTTATTCTTGGTGCTGTATAGGCTATTTAAAAAGTAGAGGAGAGAAAAAAAAAAATCCCAAGCCCTGACCATTTTTTTTCATAGAAAAAAGCCTGAAATGCATCAGAGAATTACTCACCTGGATCCAAAATGCAATCAAAACAAAAAAGTTGCATGATCCTGTCTTTACAGAAAATGAAACATGTAATGCCTGACCATTTAATGAATTCTTAAAACAAGAACCTTATAGAACTATACCTAAAAAATTAAGAGATTATGGAAGTAAACATGCTTCCAGAATTCATGATAATAAGAAACCAACTCCCCAACATCTTAAACTGCTTTCAAAAATTGCAATGAGGCAAGAATCAGACCACCTTGATGCAGGTGATAATTACGCTATAGGCAATACAGAATCAGAAGAGTCTGACTCTGAACCAAAGACAAGTGACAGTTTAAAACCTTAAATACAGGCTTCTTTGTCATCTCAAACAATAAAAATGGATTCAATGTTAGCTGAAATTGATGCAATGTTAGCTGAAATTCAGAAATAAATACCAGAAGAAGGGTCAGGTAGTAAGTACTTATTTAGAGAATTTTTGTTGGGCCCTTATGAACATGAGACTTAAATTGTCTACTGTTTTCCTAATTCTATTTTACTTTTTTCTCGCAAGCTTGAAAAAAAGATATATGGTTAACTGTTTCAAAAACTAGAAATCTGTTAACTAACTATATTTGGCTTCGAGCAAGAATTGCAAGAAGGCAGGATCACAATTGAGAAATATATTTTTATATTAATATTTTTTTTCTTATAAATTGGCGGTGTCGAAGTAAAATAAAAATTCCACCTTCTTATGATTAAATCACTCGAAGCCAGATATATCAGTAATCTGGATATATCAGTAACCCAGATCTTTTTTTTTGCAAGCTCAAAAAAAGATATTATTTAGCTTTTTTTGTTCTGCAGATGAGGTCATGTGATTTAACTGTGTCCTGTGTTATGTAGCAGGTATTTTTGCAAATCTATAGGGAATAGATCAATGAATAATTAATCTGCCAACTAATTTCTGGAACGTTCTGGCATAGTACACATATTATGAATCTTTAAATTAGTATTACGCAAGTCAATCTGATGTCTCTGATGTTAGAATAGGATGAGAATGGAAATTACACTAGCGATTTACAGATCTGATCCTACGAAATATAATGGGCACTATAGCATCATCCATTCTATATAATAAAATTCCATTACAGATTATTGGTAGATTTGTATAAGGTATGAATTGGAGTTTAAAATGACAAAAAAACACATGCGATCTTCCAGATCTTGTATGATCTTAGCAATAAATAGTATATTTCTTGGTGATAACTTCAACTTTATTATTGCATATTAATTTGATATAAAACCCTAACTGGTAATCATTGGATTTTCTTTAAAGCACTATTGTTAAATGCACTCAAATTCGATGAACAAATCACCAAATCTGAAATTAGTATCTAATTTTTTTAGTCGTAGAGGATATACTATAAAACAAGCTAAGTATAATAAAAGTTTGTTGTAAGAAACTTATCTGTACTTGCTTCACTGATATTATCATGTCTCTTGTTAATCTCCAAAACTTCACTCTTAATATTTTAAAAGAAATGAAACATGATGCGATACAAAATATCGAAGTTACAGAATTACTACCATGTAAAATATGTAATAAAAAAATTTTAACGATTAACTTTGAATCACTTACAATATTTCCATGCGGTCATGCGTATTATAAGAAATGTATTGAAAAAAATTTTTTGCTTACAGAAGAGAACAAATGCCCTATTCCTGATTGCGACAAAATTGTTGATCCAGTAATATCTAAACGAAGGTTTTCTGAATCATCTTAGTTTAGTGAAACTTTGGCTATTGCAGATATGTTAGGCAATAATCTTGAGTTAAATTCACCAATAAATGTATCACCATTATTGGAAAATAAAATACAAAAAAATGTGTTGGTGAATCTACTGACAAATCATTCAGTAAGAAAGCAAAGAAGCAAGTTTCAAAGAAAGATTCTTCTATATTAAAAAAACTTATTGAGGAATTGACATCAATGGTACCTGAAAATTCTAAGTAATAGAAGTCAATGAAAATACAAATAATTTTTTATATCATTATAACAAAATTTCACAAACTGAATCTAAAAATGAAATAGCAAATAAAAATGTAATTGAATGTTACTTTAACTTTGGTGTAGTTTTAAAAAAATGATTTGATCATTAGGAAAATATGAATTATGGAGAATGCGCATGTTTAGCCTTGGTTAATGATGAAATCCGAAAACAACTTCCCAATAATATCACCAATGACACATTGAAAAAAAGAAAGAAAAGATCAGGAAAAATATATGATTTATTTGTTAGTATTGGTAAAGAGAAAATAAGTGGTATTAGATTATTTACGGCATCAAACATTTCAAATCTGAATCAAAAAAATATTGATTATATAATCATTGAAGTTTTAAAAAAAGAAGGTAAAGTTTGATCACTACTGCACCACATTACTGCGCCAGTAACATGAATGTCATGTCTGAATTTATAAAAATCATGTATGATATTAACTATTGGATTCCACTTTAATTAATAAAACACTTTATAAAAGTTTTGCTGGTAATTTTTAACCAATGTATTAATTACTTATTACTGTGCAAAGTGAACTGATCCCACATCAGGCCTAGTGACATGTGTTAGAATTATTTCGCATATAAATTTATCATTTTACAAGGATTATCGTTATGTATAACTTATTTGTGAGACAGGGCACAATCTCAAAGTGCTATTTTTCATTTCGACTGGAGCACCTCAGCTAAAATTAGTACACTAACCAAAGTCGGTTAATTAACTCATGCCACATCTATTGTGGAGAATTCACTCTGGATCACAAAGTGCCACACATTACGGGTTTGTATAATAAAAAATTTTAGCCACGTATAGATTTTTTTTCTGTTAATATATAACGATGAAAGAAAAACAAATTTACTTTGACAAGTGGCATATCTATAGAGGGTGGAAGCACAGGTGTAAGGTTTGTAACGAATGCAATCATCATTCATACCTATATTGCAAAACCTGCAAAAAAGTAGTGGATAGAATATATAAGCGATGTGAATGTGAAAATTTTTTAAGGAAAGAAATGATAAGTGAAAGCTTTACTATTTCATAATACAGTAACTCATCTATTGTATCCTTGAATCATTAAATAAAAATAAATTTCCGTCACGAACTTACATGACGATCAATGCTGAAGATACCTTACTGTGACATCAATGTCACACCTCTTCAGGAATAGTTTTTTAATTTTGAATGACAATAAACAAATCCCATAACATAAATATTTTAAATAAATCATGGTCCTGGTCCCGCACGCAGAATTTTTTTATTCAAATTCTGGAAAAATACAATATCGGTATTGTTATTTATCATACGACTATTTCTTACTAAAAAAATTTTCGTCCTATCCAAAAACTAAATTCGTGAATATGTTTACTTCTACCAAAAAATAATTTCACTTCCTGCAATCGATGAAGTTAAAAGTTATAAGAAAACGGAGGATTTTATACGTTTTTTACGCAATCAAGACTTAGAACTTGACAATAATGATTTCAAAATTTTAGAAAAACAAAAAATTACAGGTTGGTGTTTTCTTATGTTAAATGTGGATAAACTAATACAAGATGGTTTACAACGAGAACCAGCCGAAGAAATTGCAGAGTTTATTAATAAAATTAAGGGCGAAGAACAGGGTAAGTAGTACCATGACTGCATTCGAATATTCCAAACCTATACTGCTTTCTCCACAATAATTTCATTTATTAACTTGTGCCTCATACGTTTATTCCTATAATATAGAACAAAAGCTCCAAGGTTTGTTAATTTATATAGCCATACTCATTAAAGGCGTTTGCTGAAAAAATATAGGAATGACTAAAAATACTTTTATTTATTTTTTTCATTTGTATTATTCCCACAGCTGGATCTGGTGTGGTCGAATTTTGGAAAAAACTTCTTGACGTAAGAATAATCTTCCTGATACCACAAGATATGAAGAGGGTTGAATTAAATGCTCTGGATTCTTACTTTACGATAAAAGATAATCAGATTTGCCTAGATAAAGGTGTGATTATCGATTCAGATGGCATACTATACAAAAATAGAGAATGTACCGATGTGCAATTGCCATCAATTCTGATCGATAGCTTCGGAGGAATGCTGTGTTTACCGGATGGTGTGTTCTTTCTGGGAGATAAGGATAATGGGTCGAGGCTTCTCATACAGAACTGCTATTTGCAGTTAATCGAATTAATTAAAAAGAAACGCAGACGAGATGGCCCAGCCTCTACTGGTTGCATGATTACTGGTACTCCTGGTATCGGAAAGACATACTTTGGTCTATATCTCCTCTTTTATATTCGTTACAATTATCCTAAGGCTATAATAGTCTGGCAATATAGTGAAAACATTTGTTATCAGTTCTCTCCAGATGGTGATGTGCAAGAAGGAGATATTAGCCTGTTTCGCAGAACACTGAAGAATCCTAATAACTTCCTTTTAATTGATGCACAAGATTTGACATTTAAATATAAGGCCTATATGATCCTGCTCATATCACCGAAAGTAAAAAGATTCAATGAGGCTGTCAAATGGTCGGGTTTTACTCAATATTTATGCCAATTTGGAATCATGAGGAAATCATTACGCTTTGGGATCTTCAATACAAGAATAAGAAAAATGACGAAGGTGAAGAGTTCACACTTGAATTAGTCAGGGAATTGTTAGACAAGTGGGGTCCAATACCCCAGTCAGTTCTTTTAAAATGGGATGATAAGACATATCAAAAGAAATACGATAATCTGATTTCTAAATCCGACTTAGAAAAATGTGTGAACTCTATTGATAAGTCAGGCATGCCTACAGATACAATTAGTGGTAGACTCGTACATCTTGATGTAAATTCAAACTTTACGGAATTTGTGTACCGTTTTGCTTCTTCGAGAGTATCTGACTTAATGATCCAGGCATATAAGACTAAAACAAAGATTGATGTTCGCAATTTCGTCACAAGCAGTCATGAGCATCCAATGATCACTGGATTTCGTGACAATCTGTTCGAAGACTATGCTCATCTAGAATTGCAAAGAGGTAGTAGGTTTAGGGTGTAATGCCTGAATGATAACTCAGAGGTAAACGAAATAAATATCAAAGAGATGGAGTGTAACTGGTTCACGACACTGAATGAAGCATATAAGAAATATTATAACAGACCAAAATCAAAGACATTTGCATCGATTGATTCTTTTAGCCTCAATAACAAAACCTTGGACTTGTACCAAATTACTATCTCAAAGAACCATGGCGTGAAAGTAGGGGACAATGGTTATAAATAATTTATAGTTTGCAGTTATCACTTTTATCACTAACTCAGGTTGTATAGATAAAAGGACTTAATGACCTCGACAAATGAAGGAAGAATGCGAATAACTTTAATTTATACTTTGTCGTGCCACTGGACATTTTTGAAACATTCCTTTTGCAAAAATACAAGACAACTAAAGACGAAGATTGTAAGAAAATTCCGGGATGGATTAATAAAATAACCCAATATGCATTAGAGATTGACTTGGGAATTAATAAAAAAGGCACGAAAAAATGATCTAGTGATGAACTATCGAGAGATGATAAAAATGAGGATTCATCAAAGAAGGAGATAGATATGAAAAAATGGAAGACGAAAAAGAGTGATGCGATGTTGGAAGACGATAAAATTGGGGAAGCTTCAGGGAGCAACATGGGTTCAGGACAGCATAATTTAAAGCGTTCTCATGATGCGGTGTTGGTAGAGGATGAAAGTGGAGAAACGTCAAAGAAAGGAAATAAAAAAGACATGAAAAAACGAAAAATAAAATAGGGTAGATAAAGTTAATTCAGTACATGCATATTCCTGTAATATATTTTCATTTTTGTTATATTAATAAAGCTGACCCTAGTGGCCGAATTTCGCATACATAATCGTGTTTACTTTTGCATGTGTATTTCGTATTGTATTATTATCAATGTACATTAACTCGCATATGATCGAGAATTTTCTTGGTAAAGTGATAGAGTATAAATTTTTTTTTCACGCAGACATGTATTAATAAAAAATTTTTCTTGGCAAATTTCACTTACAGGCTGTAAGAGAAAAGCATATGATATATTTTTTATTTTGAACGCTTATATACAGTATTAGTTTTATATAGATCATGGCATCCGAGCTTGAAGTATTGAAACAGTGTATCACTGAACTTGAAGCTAAGAATGCCAAGCTTGAGGCTGAGAATGCAGAGCTTAAGAAGGAGAATACTGAGATCCCCAATCTTAGAAACAAGCTCTTAGTGTTTGATGCTAAAATAGCTGAACTTAAGCGCAGAAATGCCAAGGCTCTAAGAGCAAATAAGGAAAATAATGAGAGGTGTGATGTTAAGGTAAAGAAATTAGAAGCTAGGCTCGTGATAGTGGAACAGAATGATAAGGAAGTGATACCAGAGGTGTTACCAGAGATATCAGCACCTAATAATAACACAGACAACAAGTCATCGGAAAATAAGAAAACAGATTTTTTCTTAGATGAAGTGCACAAGAAAAAGGTTAGTAATGAGATTAGGCAGAGGAACAGAAAAAAGAAATTATTGCGTGAATCATCTACCAAGGACTTATCTGAAGATGTGAGTTTACTTAATAAACCTCCCACCTCTTCTGTAACTCAGAACAAAGAATCTCGATCACATAAGAAGAAATTAGAAGCAGAAAATATTGTGCAGGATGTATTTGATTTTACCATGAATGGGTCTGAGAAAAAACAGCTAGAAGGTGCTTCATATATGACGGGAATTTTGCTTATAGGTCATAAGGAAAGTAATTGTCAAGAAAAGATAGAGTCTTAGGGAGGTTTAGCAGAGTTATCAAGTTCAAATGTATTGCAAAATATAAACCACTTATATGAGAATGCATGTACTGCAGAAAATGAAAAAGTAAAGGCTAATCAGGTGGAAATTCTGTGCTAGAGAAATTTTATTATAGGACTGGATAATAGTATAGGTGAAATTATGATCAAAAAAAAGGTGGGTACGAAAAAAGCAAAAGAACAGATTTACGATTTTATTCTAGTACACAATTCTAACACCAAATAAAATACTTTATATTAGTGCATCAATAGAGCCAGGAAGGTTTATGAGTTTACTAAAAAATAGGAGTTAATAAAATCAAGTATATCAAAACATATAATGCAAATGCTATTGCAGATTTATCTGTTAGCCAGTTTTAAACTATTAGTGATTATTTCTCCAAGAACCCCAACACTGAATTACCAGATGATCAAGAAGGCTCTAATATCGATTCCGAAGAGAAGATTTTGGATGATCAAACAGATGCATCGGAGATGGTTTCAGCTGAGTCACCTCTTTCTGTATTTTATGATTTTAATTCTTCAAGTAAAACGAGTTCAGGCAATACTTTCAAAACTGAGATAAGTATATCATCCACAATTTCTTCTAGTAAGATAGAATTATCTAACAAATCCAGACTCCTGATTTCTATTTTATCTGATAATCTATAAGAAAAACGAAAACATATCTTTGGATTGGTGTTAGAGTGTTTTTCTTCTTTATCTTTAAAAGATAGTAGTAAATGTTGTAAGTGGTTTAATCTTGATAGTTCAATACTCGTTCTTTATGTAATAGAACCATAAAGAAGAGAGTTTATGGAATGATATAAAAGGTGAATGGGGTGCTGGTGACTATTGTAGAGAATGAACTTATTATATCAAATGCAAGGATTCTCTTAATTGTAGAACTCTAATAGTATCTGTAAAAGCATAGATGAAAACTTTGTCATCTCTTATGTTGAGGATTCTTTCAATAACAACGAAGATGATGATAATGATGGTAGAGGATATTGTGGTTTTTCTGATGATGATAAAGGTTATTACTACAATTTAAATATCGACGAAACTTATAGAAAATTAGATCATTCAATCTACGCATATTAAGCTAGAATCATTTTTTTTCATATCGACACTTTTCTACCTGTCTCTCCACTAATTAATAATTGCAAATTACATTGTAAAAGATCATGTAAAAATAAAAAATTGGGAGCCCAGCAGACTCCCTCCTTTTATTATTATAAAAAATTATATTGCTACGATGATAACATAATATACAAATAAAAAAATATATCGCAATTACTTAGTGCGAATACATATAAAAAAAAAAATTATCTTTCATAAACAAGAATATGGATATGATTTCCCAGTCTATTAATATCAAAATATTGTAAAACTATATTTTGCAGATCTATATATTTTCTTACTTCTTAAGCAGTATCATTTATGTAGAGATCAAAATTGGTAAAAGAAACGTTATTTCTAATCATATTTTTAAGGTTGGTGACTGTCGTATTTGGGAGAATATTAATTGAATAATCACTGCTAACATCATAATTTAAAGTAATATTTGCCATTTTCGCTTTCTAACATAAAAATAAATAGTAAATAGAAATTCGCTTTCAAAAAAAAACATATAACAAACAATGTATATTAACCAGACCTTAAGAGTAAATTTTAAATAAGCCAAAAAAATATATAAGAGCAACGTTATTGCTAACTTACCTTGTAAGCAAATCTGCTTATTTTTATACCTCATATTCGTTAAGTCTAAGAACCTGCCAGAAAGAAAATGCATGATTAGTAATTATGTTACCTAAGTCTAATGCCAGTTTTTTTTTCTCTATAAAGCAACTCTACTCGGTCATAACTTCCAAACACTGAATCTATTCTGTTATTTTTTCTGGTAAAATTAACCTTCTTATAATCGATGATCATTTAAAGTAGGTTTAGATCTGACGATCTCAGAGATAGTGAAGATTCGAAGTCCCTGTAACATATGAATTTTGATAAAACTACTGATTAAGAATGTTATACTCATTGCTTTTATAGCCTTTTTAAGTCTTATTCTTATCACAGAATCGTATAAAGTAAGGAAAAAGGTCTAGACATTCATAATATTCGTTAATAAAAAAATTGTACTATGAGAAATGATTCTGCAGAAGAGTGACACTGCATAAAATTTAATGCAGGCCATTGATTATTAAAGCCGGTCAAATTTTTATTGCTATTTTTCAACCTAGGCCAAAATAAAAGCGGACCCATGGGAACCATTAAATCATATGATATGACATAATACGTACTTATTTTTTTTCTGGATCAATGTTGAAATAAATCGGTAAAAAAATATGATACTAGATGTTTGATCTGTTATAATAGGGTGCTTATTCTAAATTTGCAAATCGGGCTTGAGGTATATAGTATATAAATTTATTACTATATCTCATATAAGCAAATATCTAATCCCAAATATAGAAAACATGCAATTGTTAATAGATTTGCTATGTCCAATAAATGTGATGCCAAATTTAGTAAAGAATTTAATTATTTGTACTGTAGAAATTATTGTGCTATGTTAAGATGCCAAATAAAAAATATTAGTTAACTCGTGTTTAATTATTGCAATACTGAGTCATTTATATTGCATACTACTTCGTGTTGGATTATTACAGTATATACTGAACTAATAAAAATAAGTCGTAATTTATAATAAAAGGGTCTAGTACAAAGTTCTGTTCCAAATTCAGGTGAAAAAAGCAGTTGATAAAATGTGGTTGCATTAAAAAAGCACACATATATATTTTATAAGTATTTTTGAAAACAAACCTACCCCTCGAATAATCATGACCCAGTATATACATTTATTTTAAATTTGTAAATAGCTGAAGTGCCAAATATATTGAAATCTAGTCTCAAAAATCATGATGCATGTTAATTGAATGCTTTTTGTTATCAGATAAAACCACCTCTTTGAAAACAAACATATTGTTATTAATAATACACTCTACATCAAATTTATACACAGCCCAAAACCAGATATTGATATATATAACCACATAATAATAGTGGAGCTAGTGCTAATTTAGATTATATTTTATCGATTTTCTACTCTTCACACTAGATTGTTTTGTGTTGATAAGTTGACCTTTTCAAGCTACTATTAAATATACTCAGCTATGCAAAAAATTTCAGATCTATTATTGAAATGATAGGGCTTCTACTGAGTATATTTGTAGTTCAACAGACACATGATTATTATTTTAATAACCCAATAGTTAGTTAGGGTGGTTGGTCCAGTTCACAAAAAATATGCAATCTATTTATCCTTTATAATATAGTCTTCTCAGGTGTAGTTATAGCCTTTCAAGGCAGGCCTAGGATCTGACTATTACCTTCCTGCAATTTAATTTTTCTATATTCTCGATTTTGTCGAGAAGGGCGTAATCATCAACTATCATTGTCCTGTTGTAAGGAGAAGAAGACTGAACGAGCTTCCCATGCTTAGTCCACCAAACTACAAGATAAGAAATAGTTTGAATGTATCCATCTTAAAATCTAAATAAATAGATATATCTTTTTTTTTCTTTGCTCTGGGTGTGATCATCATCCTTAATATGAGGCATGTGTAAGGAGAAAAGTAATGCATACTTCCTAAATAACTAAACCACACTGCAGAGAGTAATTGAATGTATCTATCAGAAAAAAATATATATATATAAACATAAATAAAATTAATTTTTGATATAGGCATAAGTAGTTGTTTACTGTTTTCCTAATGCTATATCAGAGTGATATATTTTTTATATTAATATTTTTTTATTTAATTCCAACACAAGTAGAAAAGTGTCAATGTGAAAAAAAAATCTATGAAGTATATGCTCTCTTCTCTTCTTTGTAAATATGCATACACAATATATCTTCCAGTTTTGAATAAAAATAAATCTGATATTTTATTATTATATACTTGTTACAAACTGTTATAAGTCATTGAAATTGCTATAAATCGATAAAATCAGTGAAATTGCTACATATATATATTATCACTATACCTGCAAAATGGTTAAAACTAACTACTATAATGGTTTGAATCCTGCCTTATCACAGGCATTAATCAATCTGCAATATAGGTATAGTAATGAAATGTCTAAAATGTGGTGTTCGCGTATTCGTTATCTATTTAGAACACTTCTAGAAATAACCCAAAATACTTCTCCAAGAATGAATTTATCTATATAACTGAAAGATCTAGAGATAGAGGATTTATGATTAAAAAGCATTCATTTTATATTTATTGTACTGTATGTAACACTTTGGTATTTATTCACAAAAATACTATCGAATATGCTAGTAATCACCTGAAGAAATGCATTACCGAAAAACACCTTGCATATTCTAAACCTGTATGGAAAAATGAAGGAGTGCCAAGCTGAAAGAGTGTATTATTGCTCAGTCTCAATAAGATTGAAAAAATTTATTAAACTTATTAGGTTATATACAATAAAGGTTTGGCTCATTATGTTATGATTATTCACATGAGGATAGAAAAAGAATTGTAAATCGTTTAATTAATGATGCAAAAGTCATCCAATAGGCTTGGAGAGCTTTTAAATTGAGACCCAAAACATAGGTGAAACTAGTTTGGAATATAGTAAGAAATGATGGTACTCCCAATGAGAAGAAGTTTTTAAATATAACTTCTCACGATATAAGAATTCCTGATGATCGATATGTATGATATATTAATTGAAAAATTCTAGCTAAAGATGTACCTGTATATTATCAAAATGGCCTATATGATCATTATCCCTTAAATTGTATTGCATGCAAATTTGCCTGCATCTTTTTTTAAAAAATTAATTTTTATAATAAAATTTTAACAATTAATTTTAACAATATA